CAGCATGTATCAGAATTTCCTTTCTTTAAGACTAATATTCCACTGCTGCACATGCCACATTTTATTCATTTATCTCTTGTTTCTACCTCTAGGCTGTTGTGCTGTGAACATGAGCGTACAACTATCTCTTTGAGTCTGTTTTTCATTCTTTTGGAAATACACTTGAGGAACCACCCGTTTCCCACCACAGCTACACCATTTGACATTCCCACCAGCAATACACAAAGGTTCCAATTTCTCCACATTCTTGCCAGCACTTATTTTCATTATTGATAATGGCCATCCTAAAAAGACCATTAAAGAAGCATCTCATGGTTTTGATTTACACTTCCCTGATGACTAATGGTTGAGTATCTTTTTCTAGCACTGTTTGTAAGTGTTTCCCGAAGACCCCTCATCTATCGGTCAGCTAGGTTTTTTGAGAACTGCTAACTAACTTAAATTCCAATTCAGCAGGCCTATAGGTGAGGGCTTGGGAATCTGTGTATTTAACCAGTGCTCTCCACACTTTTTATGTGGGCTTTTACAACTCTTCAAGTATTAAAACTATGTAAAGCTTTAAGTGCCTTGGTAATCAAGAAATTTTACACTGCTTGAGGCACACGTTTACTTAGCTCTGCCCCTTCAGTGGTTTTCACTTGGCTCTGCCCCTTCTGTTTGAACCTTACTGTAAACCACGTCAGAGATTTACTGCTGTTAATCACCTGTATACAGTGGAAGATGCCATCGGAGTTGAGTGACCCTGTTTAACGTCAGCCTACAAGTCTTGGACCATTGTTAAGGTCTCCTGACTAAATGAGTGGATTTAAAGTGTACTAAACATGCCTGAATTTTTCTAAATAAGGGGAGGTAAAAGTTACGTGCTGAGTGAAACACACAAGATTTCCTTCTCTCCTTTTCTTCCCGGGACATCAGTCAAGATTTGCATTCTGGTCATAGCACAGATCCTCTTCATAAGAAGAGCGGGGTTGCAAATTCATTTCCATTTCCAGTACCATCTGAGTTGCAGAGGCTGCTTGAAATGCAGAGGTTTCTGATTCCCATCATCTGAACACAGTGACTAGTCACGTCTACCAAGAGGAGCTCCCGGCACTCGGTGACTGGTCCACGTTTAAACCTTACCGAAGTCTACCATGTTGTGAGGTAACCAGATGCTGAGGGTAGAGTGGGCTGACTTTGCATTTTCCTTTTATTGACCACTGAAATGAGAAAAACCTTCCTATAATTAAGGGGACTTGACACTAAGCCACAAAGAATGTTAATTTTGCCAATTCTTCTTCCAAATCCAAAGTTTATTTTGTCTGGGACTATTTATTAGATGTAAACCTCAAGAACTTTTGTTTTTTTAATTAAGTGTAACATGTTCAAGCTCACATTATTTTGGCCAAAATGCGTTGTATGTGAGTGCCCATCTTCATGAAAATTTTATCCAGCAGCTTAAAAAGTCAAGACTACGAAAGTACAGTCATTATCCAATTTGATGATTTATGATCCAATGCTATGCTTTTTTGTTTTAATAACATTTAGTGGATACTGCAATGAAAATTAGTTACTAAAAAAATTTTAAAGCACTAGAACAGGAAGGAAATACTAAAAGGATCTGAAGGGAAACAATAGGCAAATGCACTGAATGGCTATTGAAATGTCTTTAAACAGCTGTATCAAAAGTTTCTTTTTTAATGTAGGAAAAGCTTTATTTGCTATGAAAATTCACTTATTTGGAACATATGAGGTATGGTAGGTACTATCAATGAGCTAAAGAATGTATTTAACATTCTTGGACCTCATAAAAAGATCTTTCATATTAAAAATTTTTTAATTAAGTTCAGCTCTAACATATTGTCAGTACATTTCTAGGCAATAGGAACTAAAACCCTTTAGGCTAAATCCTAATCTTGACATGACAGTGCAAGCTTGTCAAAATGTGACTTTATTATAAAACCAAGTATTCCTTCAAACCACTGTTTCTACTTTTCAGAATTCAGAAAGGCCTAAGAAAAATAAATTATTTTCAAAGAAAATTCTTAAGGCTGTATAAAGTTAAGGAAAATGGTTCGGCAGGCAATGAGGCTATAGTGCCGGGCATAAGGATAAGCACTTTACACACTTAGCCATCCTCATTCCCTTATGAGGTAGACACAACTACACCCTTTACAGAGAAGGAACTTCGAGCAAAGTTAAGTCAAAGTTAGTGAGTAAAGGGTCAGAATTCAAACCCAGGTAGTTAGAACCTACATCCCACACTTCACATTTTAGGAGATGCTTGAATTTGGTGGATGATGCTGTTTCTAGGAAAATGTGAGTTTCTTTTGATAAATGACTCAACTAGCTTAAGATCATACGCAGTAAGCCACCAAATCATCCTTTATGTTTGGAACATGCACAATAGGTAGGTGGGGAAGAGAATGACTTTAAGCTTCTAGCAGTGCATTCAATCTACAGATTTTCAAAACGTTCTATCTGTACCTTTCTTATTTAACTTACATAAATGACTACAGTACTAGTTGGTAGGTCATACACTCAATTCACCCTATGTGTTCTAATCTTACTCTAGTCTAATGCACCAGTCACAGACTGGCCTGGCCCCCAGGTATGTTTAAGTCTGATCCAGTGTTCTGCTTTTCAGTTTGGGTTACTTACCAATTTTTCCACTCAGGAACCTGAGTGAAATAAAATTCCATTAGTAGAATCATTGCAGATGTTCCTGCATATAGAGCTCTTGAGCTTGGTCCGGGGGGCAGGGAACATGACTAAGATTTTTTGGTGAGCCAAAAACATCTATAGCCATTTGCTTCGCTTAAGTTTAAAGTTTGTAAAATTGTGGGCCTTTTAAATTAGAAAGTTATACATATTATAATAAAAATCACTCAAAGCAAAAGAAAAAATTCCCCAACAATCGTTAGCATATTAAACTGGTTCATGATTCAGTTCAACAGGATGAATTCAAGTTTAAGAATGTAAGAGAACAAAACATATCCCCTACCCCTACCCTATATAATCCCCTGAAAGAAAACACCAAGACACCAGAAGGGGTGGGGGCATCAAAAGGAAAAAGTAGAATATTGATTATAAATATAGATGATTTAAGAACAAGAGTTAGATCTCATAAATCTCAAATGGACCAAGAAATACGGCTCTAGGTCACATCATCCCTATAGGCCCAAAATATGAAGACAAATAAATATAGTTAACAAATATTAAAATATCAACCTTATTACCTATCAAACACACAAAATTTACTATCTTAAGCATAAATTGGCAAAACGTGAGGTTACAATGAAAGGCAAAATCCTTCACACTTGCTACCATAAGTTTCCACTGAAACCTCTCCAGAAAGCAATGAAAAAAGTATCAAGACCTTTAAAGAAAATAAAAAACCCCAAGAATATAACCAGAAAACATAGAAATGTTCACAGGCTATTTATAATTAGCCAAAAAAATTTACCTGGAAAAACTGGGCAAAGCAAATATCCAACACTGGGGACCTGGCTAAAACTACAGTCAATCTTCACAAAAATTACCCCAAATGATGTTTTTCCAAGATTATTAAATGCTTAGATGATCATGTTACGTGTAGGGGTGCGAGGGAGTTACATAGTTACACAATCCCAAATTATATGATTTCAAAATAAATGTGTGTAAACACATGTAAATACACAAAGAACCAGAAAAACGAAAATGTTTGTAGTCGTCTGAACGGATAAGACTACAGACTCTACTGTGTGTGCCAAAGTCTATATATTGAACACATATATCAAAGAAATGTTTTATAATCAAAGAAACATTTTAAACTTTTAAATACAAATGATATACCTCCACAAAAATATTCAATATACTAAATGAGGAGGAAAAACTGCTTTTCTAAACACACATGCTAATAGGAATAGGCCTGGATATACATTGGTGGTTGCCCTGTTCCCTTTTGCCACAAAAATGGCTACACACAAGCACAAGTTATATAACCAATTCAAAAAATAATGCCTATGTAGGAAAGAAACTACACAACCACCTTTTTTTTTTTTTTTTTCTGTGCCGTACGCGGGCCTCTCACTGTTGTGGCCTCTCCCGTTGTGGAGCACAGGCTCCGGAAGTGCAGGCTCAGCGGCCATGGCTCACGGGCCCAGCCGCTCCGCGGCATGTGGGATCTTCCCGGACCGGGGCACGAACCCGTGTTGTCCCCTGCATCAGCAGGCAGACTCTCAACCACTGCGCCACCAGGGCCCCTACACAACCTTCTTTCCTGAAAATGGTTAACAGAAGTAAATTTTGTTATCCAGAATTGGGGCGGTGGGCAGGGGGGGGGGGGTTAAGGGGAAGTCCAAATTATTTTTAACTGATTTCCTATGTTTAGGGTACCCATAAAAACCACACAAAATAAAATCTCTGGCCAATCAGAAGGCAATTTCAGAATCTTGCTAGGTGCTTCAGGCTAACTCACATCAGTTAACTATATGGTGCTAGTTATAGGTATACTAATAGCAGCTAACATGTTGGGTCAGCTTATTATGTACAGAGCACGGTCCTAGGTAACTTGTACCCATCCCATTTAACCCTTGGATGTAGCTACCATAATTAACCTCATTTCAGTTTACACTAGTAAACTGGAACCCAAGATCACACAGCTGATTAGTAAGTTACAGCTAGCATAGGCATGTAGCCCCTGAAGTCTGGCTGCAGAAGCCAGGCTCTTAACCACAAGGCTATAAAATACTAACTCATTTTTCTGTTGTTAAAAAGGGGGGAAAAGTGATCAGCATTTTAACTAATTGGCCTCCTAACAGAGTTGTGAGAATCAAAATCTAAGCAAAAGGAAGGAAAAAACAAGATTCTTTGTAGGCCAGAGACCATATACCCATCCTTTTACTGTACTTTAGAACAGATCTCTATCTACCAAAATTCACAATACATAGTACATTGCTTTTGGCTATAAAATACAGAATTTAACAGGAAAATAACTTCGAATTTTAATCAAACTTGGAGCTAAAGCAGACACGTAAGAGTTTTTAATTTGCCAGATATTCTTTTAATGAGAATTATAAAAGACCAAAAACATTTTTTTTGCAAACTGCCTTTTTTTTAAACAAATGACTTGCTTTTAATTACAAATACTGTGTGAGACGATGCCTTCTTTTGCAAAACCAATAAATACAAGAACAAATTTTAAACATGTGTGATTTGTCCAAGGTATCTGGGGGAGGGGGAGAGCCTGATTTTTTTTTCCAGTATTAAAAAAAAAAAAAAAATCAGTACTCCCTAACCTTACAAAGAATAAGTTTGAAGGTATGACTCAACTGGAGAAGAGAGAGAGAAAGAGAGAGATCACTTTATAGCTGCTTTAAATAGCTTCTGATAATTCTTCCGATGTTACCTTTCCTTTCTGAAACTCATATCTTCACAAAATAGTTGAATTTAAAATATTTCTAATGAACTGATTAATGGGGGAAAAAGAAAATATGTATTGAACACATGTATAAATTTTACCATAAACAATTATGCATATCAAAAAGACACTAACTTTAAAAAGGTACAAAAAAAAGTGAGGAAAAACCTGAATTACAGAAAAGAAAGTCAAATTTATTTAATGAAAAACTAGAATTAATAAAAATTAGCAAATACACACAAAAAAATATACACACACAGCAGCACTATGTATTGACTCACATAGGGGAAAAGCAGTGGTCCAAGACCACTCAACATGGCTTGTCAGTTAAAGGAAAAAAAAAAACAAACACACACACACACTCACGCACGCACACAAAAAAACAAAACAAAAAAACAAGAACCCAATATTTTTTAACAGTACACTCAATCTACAACAAACACAAATTCAGAATTATTTTACAATGCTTCCTTTCTTAATACAAAAGATGCCCATCTTGGGTGTATATATATATATATATATATATATATATATATATATTTTTTTCAGTGGTTTACTGTTGACTTATTTTTAAATATATTAGTGTTACTACATGCAACTGTTTCCTGTATTTAACAGCCTTTCATTTACCTTCCTGTTTCTAGCTTCCACCTACCAAAAGCTTCTGGTTGGTAGGCAGACAGGTGCCTTATTCTCTGTGAAACTGAATGCAACGGTTTTAAACACTGGCCAGAAAATGTTTGATTGCCATTTCAACACATGGAAATAGTTACATTGATGCCTAAATTGCCATTTTCTGCAAAAAGCTGTGCAATGCTGGTGTCAAAGACTAGGCAGTCACTATTCATAATGGCTGTTGCAATTCCCTCATGAATAGATCGAGGAGTGGCTTCCCAAGTCAATCGCCGCCTATGACCATTTAGCTCAAGTCGGTAAGCAAAATTTTCAGCTTGCTTGCGTGTTCCTATCAGCTGTACAATTGCAAAGAATTGCTGGTGACCATCGTATTTTTCCTGTTTCTCCAAGACTAACATGAAGTGAAAGCCAAAACAGGACTGCATCATCACCCAGTCAACAGCACCAGGAAGATTAATGTCTGTAGCAAGGAAAACTATATCCTCTCCCTGTAGGGTTGTAATAGACTTATGCTGATGCATCAGATGCGGCATTACAGCATCCAAAGAGCCTTGCCATTTACAGGAAGCACCAGGGCACGGACAGGAATAAGGCCTAAACTCACAGAGCTCTTCGTGGTCTGCTTTTTCTGTGTGTGGCAGAGTTATTTCACATCCAGAAGAGGCATATTTACAAGGGAAAAGTACTGAATTGGCCACCTTCTCCATAGCCAAGTTGCGAATGGATCCCAACGGGCCCCGGCATGTTGGACAACATGTGAGCTTTGGGCGACAGTTGCTACAAACAAGATGGCCACTCTGACACTGAAGAATGGGTGGTAACACATAGTCAAAGCAGACCGGACACTCAAAAAGACTCGCCAAGTCATTGTTGGACGCAGTTGTGCCAGTCAGGGCAGGTACCCTCTGGGATGGTGTACACTTTGAGGTTCCAGTAGGTAATGCTGTTGCAGTCTGACGGCTCATTTCTGTAATAAAAAACATAAATAAAAATAAAAGGAGGCAGGAGAAAAATAATTACAACGATAACTTGTTTTATATAAATAATGTTTACATGCCAGAAATACTTAAGTTTCATGCAAAATTTACTGTAAGCAAAAAGGAAAACGGTTTAAAAAAACATAAATTACATGAAATATGTGCATTGTACACTGGATAAAATCTCTTTTCAAAATGTTCCAGAGCACATTTAGAATTCCTTTTCTCTAAAAATAATGTTAAAAAAATCATCCTTGGATGGAATAAATGCTAAAATAGAAACTGGACCATAAACAACTAAGGAACACTGTACAAGTAGTTTAAGTTCAATGCAATCAGTTTTGACTGGAATTCCTCCTCCCTCTCTGTGTTCACCTGCCCTACTCATTCTATTTCTTCCTCATTCTTAAGGCAGCTGTTGATAGCTCCAGTGAGTTATATACGTGATCCAAAGGACCACCAGGGCACTTTGATTAACTCCTCCTAATGGTGAACAGTTATCTGCTCTAGAGGTGTATTTGGGAAAGGGAAGGGGTTACAAGGGGAAGGGTCTACTGCCATTCCATCATCCGTCTCCATGGAATGTTAACACCAGCTAGGTATTAACCTTGTTTCCTACTGATCTGTGGCCCCTTCAAAAGTGAGCAAGTATGGAGGAGAAATGGAGGGCCATCCTCAAATAAAAGATTTGAGTCTGGTATTCAAAGAAAGTAAACCATTCTACTCTACTTCCATTCTACAATATAAATCAGGTATAATTTACAAAGCAGAAGGAGAGTCAGGAAAAGATAAATAAAGAATAAAGATAAAAAGCATCAGAGAGACTCACACAACATTGGGGGTGAGGGATAGAGCCAACAGGTAAAGAACTCCTTGTACCCTAGAGTTCACCAGTGTTGCTGAAGCATTCATCAGTACAGTGATAAACATTATTTAATAAATGCCATCTGGAAGAAATGATCAACAATATTAACTAACTTGTTAAGCTAAATGAAAGATAAAACAAGCCACCTTTTCCCAGAAATCTACCTTTGCTAGGATATAGTGGGCCGCTTTCTTGGGGGTGACAAAAAAATCAGTCTACTGATGTCCTAAGAGTATACTCCCAATAACCGTAAACCATATTTCTACAAAATTAAAATTTAACTCCTCAAATTTAATGTTTTCTCAATTATAATTGTTATTGTTGGAAAGAATTTAACTTTGAAAAATAATGCTGTTATCAATGTGACCACATAAATGCAATTTGGCTTCTATTACTCATAGATTGCTCAAGGATAGACACCTTAAATAGGGACTGAGAGTGAAAGAAAAACAAAAAAACTCCAAAACAGATCAATTCCACTGTCACTAAAGGTATATTCTAAAGTACAAGGGGAAACAAAAGTACCACAGAATTCTATCATAATGTGGCTCATCACATGGATTTAGGACAACAGGAATCAACTCTCATCACTGAAGCCCTCTATAACCCCGGTATTCCAGCCCAACAAAAGCACTATAAAAAGGAACTCTGCTGTAATCCAGTTTCCCCTGAGGAGATTCTTTGTGCATATGATGATCCATGCATTTTGTTTTAGGTCACTAGTAAAACAATGGGCTTATCAGCATTGCCAAAATATCCTGTATGTTTATTTCATGGTCCATTTTATGCTGCTCATTTAAGAGAGCAACATAATAACTGGGAAGTGGTTCCTTGGACACAAAATAATCTAAGCCACCAATGCCTTTCAAATCACTAAACCAAAACAGCTAGTCACACGTCGAGAGGCAGTAAACTCAGTTTGTATTCAACATAATGTAACTATTAAGCAAGAAAAGTATTACTGTTTTAATTTCTTGACCGAGCAAATAGTTGTACATTTATCATCAATAGTTCAGGCTCATGTTACAGTGTACATTATTATTTTCCCAACATTGTAGAAAGCACAACTTAAATTCCTATTCAAAGTGTGAAAACAAGCAAAATGTGGCTTCTATTTCTTGTGAATGGAAGTATTACAGGATAGCAGCTACTAAAGCTTCCCAAAGCTCGGAAGGTGGAACCCAGCTCCATCTTCAAAGAGAGAAAGAGCCCCAACCCACACACAGCCCTGCAGTAGGAACCAAGGACTCAAGTGTCTGGACAACTCTGCAGGAGTCATGACATAACCTGAAGTTTGATTCAAATTGAGAAAAGTACACAGCTGATCAAAGGAAACATCACTGCCAGCTCAATTATGGTGCAGCCATTCCCTGATCCATTTAGATTCCACTGGCTCACACAACTTTCCCATTTCACAGTTTAAGCAACCCAGTCTCTTAATGGCAGTACCTTTTCTCTTCTTTGTCCCAGATGCTGGTAAACAAGTGAGCAAGACGCCCCTCCAGGAGTACCGAAAAGGTAAGGGAGGCTTCCCCGTCATGAGAAGCCAGGCAGCTCATAGCCTTTCCCCCAGAAGTAAAGACGACTTGCAACAGAGGGCCGTCCTGGACACCTTTTGTTCCTAAACATGTCCCAGGTCAAGTTTTCAAGAAGGGAAGGCACGTGCCCTGCTCCATACACTGCATTCAATACTCCTCAGAAGCACTGGCTACAGAGGCAGAGAATTGAAGCCCCCATCCTGTCTCAAGAGGAGCCGACCACACCTCCCCATGAGCTCAAATTCGCCTGCGTCTCCAAAAATGGGAGCCATTGCCGAGCTGTCCTCTGCTGGGCCCTAAACCTTCGTCTGTCTGTCTCGGAAGTCTATCTTCCCCAAATTCATCGGCTAGGCTCCAGCCAGCTCGGTGAAGGACAAGACTGTAGGGTGCGTGGAAGCGACCGGACGAGGAGTTGCGGTCTCGGTGCCAGCTCGAGCTACTACTGCAGGGTCCGGCCCGCAGCTGGGAGAGCCCGCTCCACGCAGAGTTTCAGACTGTGCTGTTCTCAGGGCGGCGGCTGCCTCTGAGGGCGAAGGGCGGGGCGGCGCACGGGGGGGGGGCGGGGGGGGGGCGGGGATTAAGGCTCCACCCCACTCAGCCTAGGGCGGTTCTAAAGCAAGCAGCGCGCAGACTCCCACCAGCCACCCAGCCGGAATAAACCCGAGATCCCCGCGAACCTGGCGACACTGCACACGCCACAGCATTTCCACCAGCTTACAAGTAGGTAGAAACACTCCGCTTCTGTAGGCCCAAACAGTCAGATATCGGCAATTTCGGTTGGTTTCGGCTGGTTTCAACCCAAGATCTGCACAGAATATATGGGAAATCCGTGGCCAGACAAGCACTCTTCTCTGCAGTACACTCTCCCGGTTAACCGTGAGAACGCTAGATTTTTATACAGTAAAAACATTCTCCCTACTTCGTTCAATAACTATTTATCGGGCGTCAACTACCTTATTTCCTCAATTGTAACTCACTTCCCCATTTTTACCGCACCTTGTTTTAAACTCCCCCTTCTCCCTTCGAGAAGACTTCGCAGTGAGAGTAGTAAACACACATAACCATATTAAACTCCTGCTTCAACCTTCAAATTGAGATTTTATTCTCTTCCCACTCTAGGAAAGCCATCTTAAACGGCCTTATTAAACAGAGTAGCTTGTTTTGTTTTTAAACAAGCATTACCCTTGCCCCAATAAAGTCCAGGGCCTCAGATTTGCATTGCGTCAGCTCAGGCATTCAGAGGTTTAACCTGTCATTACCCCATGCTTTGGGCAGCCTTTAAAGGCAGCAAGAGCTGGTAGTGGGGAGTAAACCCTATGCTGCACACTGTAGATTGCCCATTTTCAGCATAAAATCTTAACTCTAATCACTTACCCACCCTATATAGTGTGTTCAGTCACCTCAACCTCATTTTGATATTAGGAAATCATTAGGAATAGAAATATAATTGAAAATAGTCTGTTCACTGACAAATATAAATTACTATTACCTAGGTTTTTATTTTCTAATACATATTCATTCTATTCAACAGTTAAGTCTCAGGTTTCTACAGCAGGAGACTTCAAATGTTTTAGGCAGGAAAACTCTTTCCAAACAGAATTAAGACAAAGTCTAAATGTGTAAAACAAATAAAAGGGATGACAGATTTCTCAAGCCAAAGAAAAATTTTTTCCCAAACTTCCAAAGGACCTATACAGATCCTTACAACACTATCTGAAAGCCATTAATATATGGACAAACCTCGCAACAAGTGAGTCAGGACAGTAAAAATGTGAGTGTTCTGGAGCCATCTACACTTGGATTCAAACCCAGTCTTCACCACCCGCTCAGCTGTAAAACTGGGACAATATTTCCAGCCTTGCATGGCTTTTGTCTGGATTAAGGGAGACGGGTAAGTTATATATATCATAGGTGGTACATATTCCAAAATATGTAAGTACTCACACAATTCCAAAAGTTAACTTGTTTTGCCTGAGGTCATCAATTAGTTAGAGACATAGAACTTGTGGGTTCCAGATATATACTCTAAAAGGTTATCAAAAATGTATACCAAAGATCAACTGCCATTTATCTAATTTTTAGCACAATACAGAATTTCTCCACTAGGTAAAACATTTATTTAAACTGGTTTTACGAGGGAAAATTTCACAAAAACTACATTACACTAAGACAAGCCCATAGAATCCAAAGTTAGCAAAAATCCAAAATTTACCAAGAGTGCACTATTACCTATCCTTTCTAAAATAAAGCCTACATCTCAGGCCCCGTTTGGTATAAAGTTTAAACAGATTTTAATTTAGATAAAAACATTTTAGAATCAGCCTTTAATGTTGCCTTAGTAATTTCAGAGCATTTAATCATTGCTTTGCCACATTCACAAACTTATGATAGAAGTAAATAGTCTTAAACTTTTATTCTCAATTTCATGGGGGAAACTTTGTTTCCTATTATAAATTATAAATGACTGATGAAGAATTTCTCTGATTAAAATGAATACACAACAACGTTGTGCTTTTCACTTTCTTGCCTTTTACTAAAGTTACTGCGGCCTGCAAATAATGGCCCCCCTCAAAGATGTCCACATCCTAATGGTTTGTCTACCTCAGATGAGATTAAAACTAAGGCAAGTCTCCTTAAAATTCAACAGCTTAAAATGCCAAAAGTTAAAAATCAAACTTTGTTATAAAACCATAATGCCAAGAAAAAAATTAAGCAATCTATTTTTAGCTTCCAGAACTGCACCAAAGTAATAGGAATTTAAAAAAATTATACAAAGTATTTTCCTAAAAGCTCCATTTTCCTGAAGATAATTGAGAAGACGTTGTAGCCACAGAATCAGAGTTATGTGTCCAGTAAGAGTGATGATCTGAAGTGGGGAAAGCCCAGGACAAAAGACCTGATAGAAGACCTGTAAAACCAGAAGTCTGAACAAAGGTGATGACAGTAAACGGAGAGGAAAATGCAAACCATAACTTAAATGTGTAAAGCAAAGTACCTTTGCTTTTTAATGCCTAACACTGTATTTTGAGGCTTCTACACCTGGTAAAAAAAAAAACATATACTTAACCAGAACCCATTAGGCACTATGCTAGATACCAAACTGTAATAATGGATGAAATGCAAAGTAGAAGTGAGATGCCTGTGACACATCTAAGAGATGGAACTCTCATACTCTGCTGGTGGGAATGCGAAATAGTATCACCATATCCTGTCACTGAAGAAAGTCCTATTGGAAAGCATGATTCTACATCCTAATTTTATTTTACTAGCTATTATCCTTATTATTTTTATTTCACATTGAATCTACACTAACATCAAGAATGAAAGCATTAACATCTCCCAAAACAAGGCAGGTCATTTAATGTGCTAAGAGTGAAACTTTCCCTTTCCCACCTGCCAGGATAAAGACTGTACTAAACTTCAAAACTTTTGTCAAAACAATCATTTAAACCTAACTGCAAACATTCTGATTTCATTTCTCACAACTATATCATAAGACAAATACCCATCTTTTTCTTCCCCTTGAATCCTTAATTATGATTCATTTTTTGTTATGGCCATAGTACCTCAAAAAAGTTTTCAGAAAGGGCATGTAAGCAATTAAGTCTCAGTCTTAACAATCTGAAGCTCTTGCACAAGCTTAGAATTCTAGTTCACACCCTTTATCCCTAGAACTACATAAATTCTGCTGTCTTCTGACATGTAACTATGTAGATGAAAAATCTGATGTCATTTTTATTCTCATTCATTTGCAGGTAACCTTTTTTACCCTGACAGGTAGCTTCTAAGACTCTTATCTTTGGAAGAAATTTTCATCAAAACATCTAGATACATGCCATCAGCACTTGCCAAACACGAGGTGAGTATTTTCAATCCCAAGACTCAAGTCTTTTACCTTTGTGGACCTTTCTTCTAATTGTCCTTCGACTCTTACCATTACTCAGTTCTTTTCTTCACATAATTCTGATACGGACTCTCCTGGGTCTATCTTCAAGTCACTTATATATTTTTTTCTCATAATTCCAATCTTTGTTTTGCACTGCATTCCAAGAGAACTCATTAAATTCTAATTCATAAATTTGGTTTTGCTAAAGTTACCTATTTCTTGATATGCTAAAGAATTTAATTATGTAGATCCTCAGTTTCCAACAAGGGAACAGAGAGTTTGATGGCAGGAACGGCTACTTCCCCTTCCTTTCCCTGAAGTTGGAATGGCCACATAAAATCATACTGCATTGCTCTTGTACTTCCTTAACCCCTCTATTAAAGTTTTCATGTCCCTCATTGGAGCTTCATTGTTGGTTGGTTTCATTCTTACTGCTATAACCTAAATGGTTCCAGGGTCAGCAAGTTAAATACTGAGGCAGAGGAGGGATTTTCCTCCATTCTCACTAAAACAGCTGCCCCAAATATTTATTAATAAGCATACTTATGTACCAGGTATTGTCCTCAATGAGTGTCCAGGTTAAGCATTTACCCCCTGCATTACAGACAGGAAAATAGATTTCAAAATAAAGTAAATATTTCAGATCACAGAACTACTTTAAGAAAAAAAAAAGAAAGGAAGTTGGAGCTATCTATCGAGGAGGACTTAGAAGAGGTGACAAATGGCATCCTAGGCAAACAGACATTATGAAAAATTTTAGACTTGGAAAAGATCTTAACCAACTCTCTCATTTTCAGAAGAGAAAAATGATACAGAGAAGTTAACTTGCTAGATGTCATATAAAGTACGTCAATGTTCTAATCTGGGCAATATGTTATAATTTCCTAGATCCTTTCAAAGCAGATATGCTTTGGATATTTTCTAATTCAACTTGAAAAACTAACCTTTTCTGAATTTAAGTTTAATAAGATTCAACTGTCTTGCTTTCCCTCCCAACACAAGAGAGATCCCAATGTAGCCAGGAGAGATTAAAAAAAAAAAGATGGGAGATAAAACCTGAAAAAATAAGAGTTACCTTAAGTCAGCTCCTTAGATGGGCCTTTCCTGATCACTTTATTTCTAAAGGCCAGATCACCCTTCTTACTGTCTTCATATTATCTCTTGCCATATGAAATTCTCTTACTAAATAACTTACTTATTGTCTGTATTCTGCCCGTCTCTCTCTCCACAATACCAGCTTTTCACTGATAACAGCAATTCTCAAACTTTTTTGGTACCAGGAACCCTTTACACCAATAACTGGCAAACTACAGCTACAGATCACTTGCCTGTTTTTGTAAGTAGTTTTATTGGAACATAGTTAAGCCCATTCATTTACATATTATCTGTGAATGCTTTCAAGGGTGGAGTTAAAAAGTTGACCCTATGACTCCTAAAGCTAAACCTATCTGGCCATTTAAGAAAAAAATTTGTCTTTACTGCTTTAAAGTTTTAAAAAATTACTGAGGACCCCAAAAGAGCATTTTGTCAATGTGGTTTATATGTATTAATATTTATAATATTAGAAATTCAAGCCAAGAACTTTAAAAATATTTATGTTAAAATTACCATCACATTTTTTACATAACAATTAAAAATCTATTACATGTTAAATGTTTATGGAAAATAACTATCTTCCATAATAGGGAGAAGAGTGTTTATGTTTTACATTTTTTGCAAATCTTTTTAATATCTGATGCAATAAAAAATACTGTTGGATATTTAATATCTGCTTCTGCAATTAATCTGTGAAGATACCACATGTCATGTAGCCTCTGGGAACCTCACTTTACTCTCATGTCTCATTATTGTGAAAAAAAGTTTTGACCCTCAAAGGGTCTTGAGAACTCCCAGGATCCCTGAACCACTAACTTTTGGTTCAAGAGCTCTGTACTACAATATAAACTTTATCAGCATAGACCTTGTTTATTTTGCTCACGCTTCTATCTCCAGCACCTAGGACAGTACCCAGCCCAGACCAGGTACTCAAATATTTCTGGAAGGAATGAATAAATCAAGTACAACAGTATGAAAGATTCCAAATAAAAGAAGTAGCATGTATACAACCACAACTCACTCATCCCTGATGACCCCTAAGGTAGAATATATCTGTTATAACATTAAAGAGAGTGAATTCACAACTAAGATTTAAAATTCACTTTAAATAACACTATTTTACAACACACTATGCTTATCTTTGACAAAGGAGCAAAAGGCAACACAATGAAGAGAAGACAGTCTTCAACAATTGGTGCTGGAACAGCTGAGTATCCACATGCAAAAAAAAAAGGAATCTAGACACAAATCTTACACCTTTCACAAAAATTAACTCAAATGGATCACAGATCTAAACGTAAAATACAAAACTATAAAACTCCTAGAAGATAACAACACAGGAGAAGATCTAGATGACCTTGGGTTTGGCAATGACTTTTCAGAAACACCAAAGGCATGAACCAGGAAAGAATCAATTGATAAGCTGGACTTGATTAAAAGTAAAAATGTCTGCTCTGCAACAGTCAGGAGAATGCGAAGACAAACCACAGATTGGGAGAAAATGTTTGCAAAAGACATATCTGATAAAGGACTATATTATCCAAAATACAGCACAGAAATCTTAAAACTCAACAAGAAAGCGAACATGCCAATTAAAAAACGGGCAAAAGACCTTAACAGACACCTCAACTTATCAGATATACAGATGGCAAAGGAGCATATGAAAAGGTGCTCCACATCATTTGTCATCAGGGAAATACAAATTAAAACAAAAATAAGGTATCACCACACACCTCTTAGAATGGCAAAATTCAGAACATTGACAACAGCAAATGCTGGTGGGCATGTGGAGCAACAGGAACTCTCATTCATTGCTGGTGGAAATGCAAAATGGTACAGACACTTGGAAGACAGTTTGGCAGTTTATTCAAAACTAAACGTATTCTTACCATAAGATCCAGCAATCATGCTCCCCGGTATTTACCCAAAGGAGCTGGAAACTTATGTCCACACAAAAACCTGCACATAGATGTTTACAGCAGCTTTATTCATAATTCCCAAGACGTGGCAGCAACTAAGATGTCTTCCTATAGTGAAGAGGTAAACTGTGATACATTCATACAATGGAATATAATTCAGAAATTTAAAAAAATGAGCTATCAAGCCACAAAAACATATGAAGCAAACAAATATATACTGCTAAGTGAAAGAAGCAGTCTGAAAAGGCTACATACTGTGTGATTCCAACTGTATGACATGCTGGAAAAGGCAAAGCTATGGAGGCAGTAAAAAGATCAGTATTTGCCAGAGACTGGGCAGGGAGGGGATGAAGAGGTGGATCACAAAGGATTTTTAGGGCAGTGAAACTATCCTGTATGCTACAGTTGTGGGTACATATCATTATACATTTGTCAGAACTCATATAATATATAGCACTAAGAGAGAACCATTATTAATGTAAACCATGGACTTTGGGTGATAATGATGGGGCAGGGTGAATACAAGAAACCTCTGTATCTTCTGTTCACTTCTGCTGTGAATCTAAAACTGCTCTAAAAAAATAAAGTCTGTTTTAAAAAATAATAACAACACTATATGGTGAAGTAAATCATTTTATCACCATAAACAGTCTAAAAAATTGAATATATTTTCATACCAATTCTCTAAGTTTTCAAAACATTTGTTTGTGACATTACAGTTCCATAAGCCCATTCATTCCTAGGTAGTAGTTTCATTTTTTAGTAATGCACCACTGGTAACCTACCTTAAGAATATACCTATGCATATACCTATATTAATTACTTTGATATTGGGCAAAACTACAATATCCTGGGTCTCAAGTTGCTCATTTGTGAAACAATAAAACTAACAACAAGATTTTTGGACTTTAACTGAGATCAAGTATGTGGGAACATTTGGTATATTATTAACAACACACTCAGTGATGTTTACAGAGCCATACTAGGAACCCTGCAAGGAATCACTAAATTAAAAAGACCCAGATTAGGGCTTCCCTGGTGGCGCAGTGGTTGAGAGTCCGCCTGCCGATTCAGGGTACATGGGTTTGTGCCCCAGTCCGGGAAGATCCCACATGCCGTGGAGCGGCTGGGCCCGTGAGCCATGGCCGCTGAGCCTGCGTGCCCGGAGCCTGTGCTCTGCAATGGGAGAGGCCACAGCAGTGAGAG